GGGTCTACTTGAGTATTCAGGTTAAGAAGTGTAGTGATACGGTATTGAGTTAAAAGTTCATAAAAATAAAAATGCTTAAAACTTCTATAATAAGAATAGTTTAATACAAATTTTTCTTTTTATAAATTAGAAATGTTATCATTCTGAGATTGCTAAATATCTGACATTTTTAAATACCTTTGTTGATGACTGAAACTTTTAAGAACAGTTTTAGTTCAGTGGATAAATGTCTTGTTGATAATTTTCTTAGTTATTTTCTTATTGCTGTGGCAAAATACATGACACCCACAAATTAAAAGAGCAGAGGTTTATTCGGCTCACAGTTGGTACAGGTTTCAGTCCATAGTCAGCTGGCTCCAAGGTAGGGTGGCATGGCAGGGAAGAAGCAGGGCAGGATTGAAGGAATAAAAGGAGTGTGTATATATGTGTGTGTGTGTGTGTATATGCAATAACAAACAAAATTCATAACCTACAGTTTTCTTCTGCCTACCTGTCATCTGGCACCTTGCTCCTTTCATCCCCCTCTGCACCAGATAACCACTTATCTGCTTAATGTCCCTGCAAATTGATTTTTATTTTTGAAGAATCAATGGATATAAGACCACATGAAATATTTTATCTGATTTCTTTCCTTTGGCACAACTATTTCAAGACATGTTGTTTAATAGTTCATCCCTTTGATTGCTTAGTAATATTTCATCATAGGAACATAACACAATCTATGTACCTGTTTGTCTGTTGATGGATATTAGGGACAATTGTACTGGGACAAACTTGTTAGAGCATTATAAATAAAACAACTGTCAATATCCATATGCAAGTCTTCATGTGAGGGTATTCTTTGATTTTCTTGTGCAGATACTTAGATGTAAATGACAGTCATTTGGTAAGCTTATTAAGTTTTCCAGAAACTCCAGAACTACTTTCCAAAATAGATGTACCATTTTGTATTTCCACGAGTCACAAGCTTCACTATGCAACATCACACCCAACTATAATCCCATCTGTGGTCTAATCCAGTATCACACACCCATGATCCAGTCACCTCCCAAAAGCCCTACCTATGAATGCATGAGGCTTTGAGACATCTAGATATAAACCATAACAATATTATGTATTGCCTCTACAAGTGTACAGTGTATAGGTATTACTTTATATATCTGAAACTTGCATGTGAGTGTTTATACCAGGGACCCCTGCAGAGGATCCCAATCTCCTGCTTGGTGCTATGACACTGAAGAGAAGAAAGACTCAGAGACAAATCAAAGTGAAATGGGGAGCTGAGATGGTCAGAGCGGAGAAAGCCAAGATCCCACAACAGCCAGAATGCTGATATTTATTGGTGACACAATCATTGTTAAGTTGGGGTGAGGGGGCTTTTGTGTTTGCTAGATATATGTTGATGATGTAAGCAAGGTTTGTAAGAGAAGACACAAAACATTCTTATGTTAGGAACAGATATAGGTTGTGGTTAATAATTAGCTTGTCTTTTCAGTTAAGAAGGTTTCAATTCTGGGAACAGAATTTGAATAAGAATCCCTCTGACCTCAGCTGTTGTGTTATCTTATATCAGAGCTCCACAGTTTCATGGAGCACTTCTCTGGCCTCTGCTGTGGCTGGCAAGGGACAGGGGGTTAATTTCTAGTCCACACATCACCACAGTGCTCCTGTGAGTTGCATAGATAGGCTTTAGTCAGACTCATTTTTTTAAAACAAGTCCGTTGTGGGTTTAACTCTTTACAGCCTGCACTACTTATAGCCTTTGGGTGTAATCAACAGGGCCTTCTCCTGCAAGTTTACCTCATATCCAATTTTGAGATTTGAAGAGTTATTTTTAAATATAAACACAGAAACCTGAAATATAAAATTTGTCTCATTGCAATTTGCCTCACTTTCTTTTGTTTTATCACTACAATCTTTTGGATGTAGAATTCATACCACATTTATGGAGACTGAATTATTTCTTATTTTCATTTCTTACATTATTAATGTTTCTATTCCTGCATTTCCTGCTGACATCAAAGGTTTTTACTGTTGGACACAAGGGTACAGTCCATTGAAGAGCAGCTCTACTAAAGCCACTGTTACTTCTTAAAAGTGTAGAGTTCCAAGGGACTTTGGTAGGATCTGAGGTGGAGAGGAAGAAAGCCTGAGGAAGTTAAGCGGGTTATCAAGGTGATGTAACTCACATTGTAGGCTGCGGGACGTTCCACCCGCAGTTGTTGATGACTGAGCATGTGACCTACTGTCTCAGAAATGAATCTGTAAGCCTGGCAGTGGTTAGTGCAGATGGAAATAAAAGACCTTTATTTTCCCCTACAACTGATGAATTAGGCCGAGGTAGACTAGATAGGTAAGGCGTTTTTGCCACATGAAGGATTTTAGTCTATATTGTAACAGCAATGAGTAGTCTCTAAGCAAAGGATTTAAGCAGAGTGATGGATCAAATTTACAGTTTTCAAAAATCGCTCTGTCCTCACAGAGTGGTACCAAGTCGGAGTAGCTGAGATTGGGCAGGGTCTCATAAATGGGGTCCTGTTCAGAACTCTAGCATGGATTTGGGGTGATGGGGACAGATGCTGAACAATGGAGAGATTTAAGGGCTAGCTAGATAATATCACAATTGAGGGCAAATGGCATCTAGTGATGCCTTAGCTCAGGACTTACCGAGCTCATAAAATCAAGGGAGGCATTTTCTGAGAGGTCTGTGACATGTAGCTCAAGATCACAAATTGTGGCTTAGACCCACTGTGCTGCAGAGTACATGCACTGTGTTGCTTGTGCAAACAGAGCTGAGCTAGAAGGTATGAGACTGAAGGGAGCGCACGGCATAGAGAGGAGCAAGGACTGTTTCACGTTGTGGATGTCTCCAGCATGGAACTCACCTAACCCTAGTTTAGCCTCTTCCTCCACTTATTGCACTTAGCATTTGTCAGAGAGAGTGTATTGTCAGAGAGAGGATTATTTCTTGAGTCTGGACCAGTGAAATGTTATTCAGTGTTTTGGAAATAGCTTTGTGACAAAAATATAACATTTTTTTGTTCTAATGAGATTTTGCCTACGTTATACATCAAACTTAGACCTATTTTTGATAAGGTTGAATCATATTTTGTCTTGCAAAAATTTACAAATTTTCTGAGCTCCATAATATCCTGGAGCCACTGCCTTGTTGGTATTTGTGCACCTGAATGTCTCATACAGTTTCTCAAGCCTAACATGTTCACCTCAACTCCAATTTCCTTCACATCTCCTTTTTCTCCAGTTTTTATCATCCTCTCAGAGGTGCTCTTGTTTCTTACTTCTCCCTTGTCTCCGCACATCAGCCACAACCTCGTGTCACTTCTGCCTTTAACGTGTCTCCAGCCTGTTTGTGTCACTGGGTCTCACAGTGGTTGCGCTGCTCCCGGCTGTCTGTCTCTGACTGGAATCACCATGGCTTTCTTCTGACTCTGCCTTCCTCTTGCTGCCTTCGTCTGAGCTCTCTACCACATAGCTTTTTAGGTATTTTCTTAAAGGAATCCTGATCATTTTGCTCCCTTGTTCGAAACCTTTCCATGATTTCCTTTGGTAGCTGAGATAAAATTCAGAATCTTTTTCTTGGCTTCCAAAGCCTATCACACATGGATCCCAGTCACTGCTGCTGCTCCCTGCCCAGTGATGCTGTTCCAGCTTTTCATGTGTTAGTTCTCCTCCTCCTTCTGACTTCAGCTGAAGTGCTGAGCCATTCATCTCAGACATGTGACTCCATCTTGGTTGGGTCAAAAAAGCCCCCATCAGTAAGGCTAATCCTAAATTACAGAAGCAGCAGCAAAAGCAAAACCTGAAGTTAATAAAATGACTGCATTAAAATCACAGCTGCCTTCAAAATCATGATACTTTATTTGCTAAAGATTTTGGACAAAAGAGTCTGTCCACAGAGCCAAATAACCCAGAGTTTTAATCAAAAGAGCTGTGTGTTGCAAGAAACAGCTCTCCATAAGTCATTGATTCACTTAGATTTCTAGACATGTTTCAGAAATCCTTTTGGCTCAGCTCAGCAATGGATTCATTAGGGCTTCACATTTGTAGCTTGCAGGGTCCCCGGGCCTAAGAATACAAAGGGTGGCTTTCCAGGGCCAGGGAAACATGGCCCCAAACATCAGCTCTCTTGCTTCCCACCTGTCTAACTTGAGCAGCACACCTCTTTTCTCAGAACCAGGCTTCAACTGGTGAAGATTAAATAAATTGTATTTGTAAGATGCCTAACTCAAAATGCCTAAAAATGACTAGTCCTTGTCTCCTTACGACATTTATCCTTAGGATAGTTATCAAAATACCAAATTTTAAAACATCAATTTAGAAGCTAGGTAGTATGATAAATACACACTTTTGAAAAGAAATAAATATATTGACCAGAATTTCTTGACACCCTCTCTTGTGACAGTAGGAAAGAAAAATGATTCTGAAGCAAAGATAAATGTTAGAGAAAATAGTTTCCGTTAGTTTTATTTGATCTTTTTATTCTCTCTGAAGACACACTCTCAAAGAATATGGAGGACTTCAGAAGCGGAGCAGAAGCACTCACGTTGACACACAGAGACCTTTGAGACTCTCTGTGTACCCAGGAGTTTGTTTCATTTTCACAGCAGAATGCCAGCGTGGAATTGGGAGGCCGACATCCATGTTGAAGCTTAGAGTAAAACCCTAGGTCTGGGTGATTTCACACAGGTGTTAGTTCAGCACACGAGGGAGAAGCAGTGTGTCCCGGGTTCGCTTCTGTGGTCTGTGCTTTGTATCTCAGTTCTGCCACAGGTTTTGGGTTATAAACTCGTTACTTCATGGTAGCACTCCTGGAAATGTTAGGCTCTGGCTGGTTAAATACAGTAGGCGAGTGACGCCGTGTCCTGGACAGAGCAGTGGCTCCTCATTTGCTTCCATAAAAAATTTGTCCAAAGCGCTTACTATATAGAGATAATTGTTTGCTTTTGTTTATTGCTTTTATTTTCTCCTCTTTTTTCCAGGATTATGACAGTTTTTTTGAATCAAAGGAGAGCAACACAGTCCTTTCGTTCTTAGGATTGAAACCATGGTCGGCATCAAACGTAGGTTGATCTTTTCCTACTCTTTTTTTTTACAGTCTGTCTTTCTTGGATTGTTAGGGATGGAGGCTGAGGGTAGTAAAGGGATGCATATACTATATAGTTTCCTAAATTTCTACTTTTGTTTTCTCAGATACATAATTCTGAACTATCCAGTGTGAAAATATACAAAGCCATTTCTTTTCCAATTTTAAGTTGTTGCGATAAATTTAAGTATTAGTTTATTCATAATTCATACCTGTTTTTCCAAGAAGAATTTCAGGTAGCAAAGGTAGTGGCTGCTTTCTGTTTTAAATTGTAGATTGGTGTGACAGTTCACTGTCTGTGTCAGTCAGTGGGTTCCACATTCACAGAGTCAACCATGGATTGAAAAATACTTTCTAAAAAACTGCATCTGTACTAAGCATGCACAGACTTTTCTTCCTGTTGTATTTTGTGAGTGATACAACACCTGTTTATGTAGCACTTGCACTACACTTAAGTGATCTGGTGATGGTTGGAAATACACAGGTGCATAGGCGCAGGTTCTGTCCAGATTTTTATGCAAGAGGTGTGAGCGCCTGTGAATCTGAGGGCCCCGCGGCTACAGGACAGTTGTGCTTTAAATTTCTTGAAATAGAATCAAAGTGGTATCTGAAAGATCTTTTCTTTGTTTAAATTTATTTACATTGGGCAAAAGATGGTCTATAGCAACAAGGGTCAACCTTGAAGAAAAATGCTGTACTCTTAAATCAGTCATATTTTAAAAGCCTCTTTATTAAGTCTTTCGTCTTTGGAGAACCATAAAGGACTCGAACTTGTCTTTTGTTTAGGCCTAGAAGGTAGAAATGATGGATATTTTTACACTTTTTTAAACCATATTATTATTATGTTTAATGGATTGGCTTTCAAAATAAAAATGGTATTTAGTAAGTAAGGTAATATTTTGATATTTCTTTAAAACTATTTTTTCAGGTTATAAAAGTAGCCTGAGCTTATTTAGAAAAATTAAGAAAATACAAAAAAATAAAGGAGCACATAAAAATGACTACCCAGAGCTAACCATGTTGAAATTTTGCATATTTCCTTGCAGTCTTTACATATATAGTCATTGAGGTTTTGACCATATTTAAAATTGAGAATGAATTCTGAAGTCTGTTTTTAGATGGACGTGCATTACTAGAACATTATCTTCTGTAATAGGCCTTTCAAGGCTGTCCAGGCTGTGCACCTTCTCTAGAGCACCTGTGGGAGGAAGGCAGAGATCATTTGTGTAAATGACAACCAGCACCTGCAGTGAGGGACCGATGTGAAGTCGGCTTTGTTTTTACATCAGTGAGTCCACAGATGGTGGTGGGTGGCTTCTGCACATGGTTTAAGCAGAGGCAAAACCCACGTGTAAAGTATTTACTGGTTCTTAAAACTATTTTTATAAAGCTAGAACATTTGGATACTTGTTAGGAAAATTAAGCTTTTTACAACATAGATACCAAATGATTCAGATTTATCTTCAGAGAGCTCTAAGACACTGGGGCAGGGGTTATGTAACGGGTGCATAAGTCCAGCAGGCACCATCGTCTGTGTAAAAACCTTCTATAAAACACTATGTGATTGCCCTCTATGTTACATTCCCCCCAAAGATGGAGATTCCCTCGAGAAGTTTTTTTGAAGGCTGGGAGCTGTCACATGCCCACACTCATAGCCACTGCCGGAGTTCAGTCCTTCAGGCTGTAATATTCGTGCTGTCTTCCTTTTTCAAACCATCGAGGAGAGAGAGCCTGTTCCCAGCTAAACCACTGCACATCTACACATAATGGAGAAAGGAAGTAAGACAGGAACCCCGCCCCCAAGAGACAGGGATTCTCCAGTTTTAATCCATACCCATTACCCACTAAAAGTGAGGGTGTCCTTTTCCTACCCTTTTTTACCAGTAGTGTATGGAAGGTATCTTTCCCTTATCTTCTGTCTCTCACTGAAGGACCAGGTAGGTGCACTGTTACAGCAGGGGTGCCCCACAGGGCCTCCGAGGGTGAGAAGAACCACACTGTACTCGTTACCCGTTGGGAAATTACTAGACTTCCCACCCCAGCAAGGCCATTAAAGTTGTCTCTTTCCTCTGTTAATGGGTCAGCCTAATCTTCTCCACCAGGGTTGTGTCCCTTCAGTGTTTCTTCTGTGCAAGCTGAAGTCTCCTTTCCACTCTCTCTTCCTGCTCAATTGAAGTTTTTCCCTGTAAATTCGTGCTATTTCCTCAGATTTTAATTTTTGCAAGCACAAAAACAAGTCCCCATGTATGCCTTATGTCACCAAGACATTTTTGTTGTGTCCAGTCTGAATACCTAACCAGTATTTTAAAAGATGTTTTATATCACTAAGTTCTGGACTGAGTGGCTATGCAACAGTAGTGACTAGAATAATGTTATATGTCTATATTTGTATATGTATCTAATAATTTTTTGTTTTTAATAGTAAATTCAGTAATTTTTCCATTTTATTTTTGTGCTGTATTATAAATTTTATTTTTAATAAAACTTTTTAAACCAAAAATCTGTATACCTCACAATTTACAGACTTAAAAGGTAAGATTCAGTAGACCCCGGTACATTGACAGAGTTGTAGAACCACAGCCACGATGACATTTAAGTTATTCTTGGCCATCCCAAATCAAAACACTCTACCTACTACTCCTCATCTCTCAGTCCCTCCTCCCTAAGTTTGGGTTACCAACACACTGGGCTTCTCTCTGTCTTCATAGATTTTCCTATTCTAGAAATTCATTTTTTTTCTTTCAAAATAGACATGCTCACAACAGTAAAGACATTAACAGGTCCAATGAAGTATAAATCCTGCAGTGTGAGCTCTCACATCATATTAGAGTGAAACCAGAGATCATCAACAAAAACATACTTAAAATATAATTATTTTTTTCTTTCTTTTTTTCATTCCTCTTTCCTATTAAATTTTTCATATAAGGGAAACTATACAACGTACAAGTTTGTGTGTCTGATTTACTTTACTTAATGTTATGGTCTCAAGGTGCATCCATTTTCCTATAAATGCCTCAGGTTTATCTTAATGGCAGAGTAGAATTCCATTGTGTGTAGGCACTAGCACAGTCATCTGTTGATGGACAAATAGGCCGATTCCAAGATTTAACTATTATGATTTGTGCTGCTATAAACATAGGTATACATACATCACTATGGTATAATGTTTTTAACTCTAGGAAACATACACACAAGGAAAATAGCTGACCAAATGGAATGGATTTAGTTTTTTGAGGAATCTCCATATTGACTTCCATAGTGGTTGTATCAGTTTACACTCTCACCAACAATAAAGAAGGTTCCTTTCTCCCCACATCCTTGCTAGCATTTGTTAGTGGTTGATTTCTTGATGGTAGCCATTCTTCTGGGGTAAGATGGAGTCTCAATGTTGTTTTAATTTGTGTTTCTCAAGGAGGCAGCGATGTTGAACATTCTTCCATGTATTTATTGGCCAATGGTATTTCTTAATCTTAGAAGTGTCTCTTCATTTCAGATGCCCATCTTTTGATTGAGTTTTTAAATGTGGAGGGGATCTAATTTTTTTGAGCTCTTTATATGTTCTAGATGTTAGTCCTTTGTCTGAAAAATAGCTGTCAAAATTTTTTCCCATTCTGTAGCTTGTCTCTTTGTTGGTGGTTTCCTTTGATGTGCAAAAACCTTTTAATTTAATGCAATCCCATTTGTTGATTATTGGTATTATTTCTTGTGCAACCAGGGTTTTATTCAGAAAGTCTTTTAATACACCTGTGTCTTAGAAAGTTTTGCCTATTTTTTCTTCCAACAAATTACATGTTTCTGTTCTAATGTTGAAACTTTTCTTGGAAATAGCCCATTTGCCCATCAGTTGGAAACTGGATAAAGAAGATGTGGTTTTTCTATAAAATGGAATACTACTCAGCCATAAAGAATGAGAAATTAGATTCATTCATAGGAAAATGGATACATATTGAGGATATACTCCTAAGTGAAGTAAATAAATCACACTTGTGTAAATACTGAATAGTTTCTCTGGTCTGAACAAACTGTAATAGTACATAAGATCCTAATGAAATAATTGACAATGTGAAATAGGAAGAAAAGGGCTAAAGGTGTAGGGAAAGTGGGAAGGGTAGGGAAAAGGTAATAAGGGAAAGAAAAAAATAGGAGAAAATGGAAATAAAATGTTTGTAAATGGGGAGGGGAGGAGGGGATGAAGGGAGGGCAGGGACAAGGGGGAAAAAATGAGAACCAAGACCTGTTATGTAAAGGTACAAGATCCCAATGATGAATGTAACTATACTGTATACCTAAAATATACCAATAAACTCAATGAGGAAAAAAAAAGAAATTTTTGATCCATTTTGATTTTAGTTTCATGTATGGTGAGAGATATGGGTCTAAGTTCAACCTTCAGCATATGGATAGCCACTTTTTAAAAACAGTTTGTTCTCTAGAATTTTTCAAGAAATCTGTAGATCTATAAAGTATGATTCATTCTCACATGAATTGTGCTCGTAGTATTAAAGTTGGTCTTGGTGCCATGACGTTGGCTTGATTTCAGTCAACCATTCCCAAGGCTGGAAGGGCCAGAGCATCCCCACCACCGACCTCACCACTTTCAGATGCTTATCCTGGGCTGCTGTATATAAAGGACAAGGCTGGAAAGCCCACACAGAAGGACATCTGAGAATCTGTCATTGCTTTGCACAGAAAGGAACATTCATGGCCCCACAGACATAGGAGCCTAGAGTAGACTGGCCCTGGGCTGCTCCCCAAAGCAGGCACAACAGGGGAAAGTGAGAGGTCTCTAAATGGTGGCCTTCAGGCTACAATAGCTCTGCATATATTGTTTGACTGGCATAGAAGTTTTGAAAGTAAAAAGTAAATGCATTAATGATATTTAAAAGGCTGCCCACATCTCTTGAGTGTGGAAGATCTGGAAACTCTAGGGTCAGGGGAGTGCTTTCCTTCATGAGTCTAGGCTGGTTGCCCCTCCTTGGTACATACCTAACCCTGAGGAAAGGAGGCCTTCGCAGCAATACTTTTCAGGCAGACACTCATTGGATCTGTTATTTTAGTACTCTCCAAGTAGAGCCTGTTGTAGGAATTTCTGCTTCCAGGTCCCTGTCATTTAGCAGTCATATTCGATGTGTAACAGCTGGCAAACCTGCACATTGGCTCGTGAGCTGGGCTGGGTCACAGCCTCCTGTGCCAGGCCACAGCAGTTCAGTGATTGGAGAGAGGGGTGGAGGGGCATTTGGGCAACCAGGACAGTGACTTTATTAACAGGCATGTCCACACCAGCACTGTCCCTCACTTAGTTGTCACCACTAGCCCACACCTCTACTGGCCCCCACAGTGTGGTAACATACACCTACCCATGAGCTGGTACCTTTGTGAGAGCAACAGCAGTCTGTTAAAAACTTATATTTAATAGGTTGGATGGGTGTGATGTAAACCTGGGCTCTGATCCTAAAACCCATATTGTGCTCTTATTAATCATATGAGGGGGATGTATTACGATTTCCAACATGTATGTTCCTGACATTAAAAAAGTCACTGCTGGGGCCGGGGATTTAGCTCAGTGGTTCTGCCATCTGCCTTGCAAGTGCAAGGACCTGAGTTCAATCTGTGGTACCCGAAAAAATAAAAAGTCACTGCCCAAAGGAAATTTTCTTGTTAATGCAGTACAGGCCAATAACTGGTGCCTTTTTTTCTTTTGACAGGCAGAATCCTAGAGGGGAAAACTGGGAGGTGATGTGACGGAGATGCATTTGGAACACCACCTCCTGGTATCAGCACACACCTGCTTACCTAATGCATCACTGTGACGAAAGCCACATGCACCATCAGTAACTTTGCTTGCCATGGAAAAGGTGTTTGGAAGATGTAGGTGGAATGGGAATTGCATGATTGCTTTAAACCAAATCAGGACTGTGTGGGTTTTTTTTTTTCTTCTCATTTTCAGATTGCCCTGTAGTTACCCTGCCTGAAACTACTGTTACCTGTTATAGGTGTGCTTCTTTTAATACTGAAATGTAAGCAGGGTACCATCAGAGAGAATGCTGGATCTGCCCCCTGTTGTAGCAGATGACAGCAGTATGATACAAACTCATTTCTCTGTGGGCTTCCTGGATCACATCCTTGACATTGTCTGCCATGCTGTTAGAATCTGAATGAGAAAGAAAAAAAATCCATGTTGATTGCAAAAGGTCGGCGAAGACTTTCCCTGCGGAACCACAGATGCCACTTGTGTGGTGCTTTGCCACCACATCTGTTGAAAGCGCTGTTCCAGACTTGTTTTTGTTATGTTGGAAACGCTTACCCCCGTGACCCTCCAAACTCCTACACGTGTTTCCAGAAATCACTGTTGTGATATTACATGATTGCCACAAGGTCACAGAGATGAAAATAATGGCTATTTTGGAAAATATATGCTTCTTTATCTCTTGCAAGGGGAAAATTTTACCTAAAAACACAAGACTGCTTGAAAGATATATTTTAAGAGGTGCACAAATTAGAGAGTAAATTTATAGGAAAACTGGCAGATTGGTATCTGAAGGCAATTTCTGCTGTAGCAATTTATATGTACATAAGTGCACATATATTTTTTAAATGCAGCTCCCCTAACAGCTGCTTGTTCTATTTTGTGAAGGGATTCTTTTTTTTTTATGAGAAAGGAAGATCCCAGATATATTTTATGAACCCTTGATGAAGCATATTAAAAGATACCAATTATTGCTGTACAATTAAAAATTGTTTCCTATGTTTTCATTATTCTTCTACCTTGCTCGTATTTTTCTAGTACACAGTCTTGGACTTTTCTGAGTAATACAGATACACGTTGTTCTTCCGTATAAAAGTAGCGTGAATATCGGTAGCACTTGTCTGAGGACAGGGCCGTCTAGAAGGTAGCTCTGAATTGTACTTGACAAGCAGAATCTCTCCTCCCACTGCAGTGGGTGCTGATAAACACTGGACCACGTCTGCTTCATTGGGCAGGGACTACTTTTCTGTGTCCCCACATTTTTTAGAGTTTGGAATTACCAAACATGGGGACAGCCTTGACTAGCATAAACTCTCCGAGGGTTGACTATAATACTCGACTATTCCAAGCATCCTGATGCTAGAGACCTTCTGTTATGATCGTGAGAAGGAAATTTATGAGAAAATGAAAGAGGAAATGAATTAAAGCCCCCCATCTCCCACTTCATGCCTTGCTAGCTGTGGACTAGTCTGTAGAACTTGTTGAATGCCAGAGCTGAAGCCCCTGAGACTACAGGACTACAATCAGAAGACCATGACACAGTTCTTCTCAAACTAGAATAGATGCATGATCCACAACATTTTCTCTCCCAGGAAAGTTTTTTTCAGATTGTGGATGTTCCTGATTAGTTGGTGTCAAAGAAAGATCCAGGTCAAATTCCATTTGATAAATCCCAGGGACTATCCAGAAATTTTATTTTCCGTAGTGGATATTATGTTTGAGTATGTGAGTCTTCTGAGAATACTTAGAATTTCTTTTTTGGATGCAGCAATTTAAAAAATTGCAAGTTGTAATTACCCACCTTGCATTTATTCTGCTCTTACCGGTGAGTTCCAAGGACCAGTTTGAAATCTGATTGAATCTTTGCAAGTTCTGGGGCCATAGTATCAGTACCAACCTTGCTAGACAGAGAGAGTGACCCAGATTTGTCTTAGTAACTTTTGAATTAACCACAGTATACCTGGTATGATTATATTAAACATACTAGATGGATAGCAGTTCTAACCTACTACAACTTTTAAATATCATCCTCCTACTACAATTTTTTATTTTTGGATCAGCAAAGAAATACAAGTGAACAGCCTTCAGGGCTTACTGTACTTGTTCTGGTGGGCTGGCACCACGGGGTGGCATGTCCCATGGTAGCCAGGCCCCGCGGTCCCACAGTATCACCCTGTGGGACCACACCGCGGTCTTCCTTGTGTTCTTCTATCAGCTGGGTTCCAAGCACAAAGTAATGATTTTCTTGTTCCCTTTAGCTAGCTACCTTTATTTAGATTTTTATAATCATAGTATTAAAAAACCTAGGGAAGAAGTGGATTTGCAGGCATAGATGTAATGTCAAGGGCATTTCCAGGCAGAATTTTAATTTTCTGTAGTCAACTTTTGGGGACAAAGGAAGCGTGATACTAAACATCTAATTATGCCATTTTAAAATTAGATAAAATATAGAGTGCCATCCTGTTAGGTTTATACAGACAAGAAGAAAATCAGTTGGGAAAATTCTTGTTTTTTTCAAATTCTGGTATTTTATTAAAATCAAAGGGAAGAAAAAGATATTTTTGCCCCTAAGCTCTAATATATTTTAGATTTGTTTGTTTTATAGATTTAATTCAGCACTCATACATAGATTTTTTTATATTACATGAATTTAATAATGAGCTAAACTTGTTTTTGTCGATTTTTGAAAGGTACCAAAGGTCTTCCTGTTTTGATTGTTTCTTTTGATTTGGTTTGATTTGATTTGGGGGTTTTGCTTTTTGTAGAAATACTTTTTGTTTAATAGCTTCTCTTAAATGTAAGTATCCACTTCAGTCTGCATAATTACTGTTTATAGATTTTCATTTGTACGTGTTTGTCTCTAAAGGCATGGGTGAAATCTCGGATTTTATGTTCAGCATTAAAGGGGAATAAATTCCAGAAAACACACATTCTGAAAATGGAGTTTCTGCTCCCTTCCGTTTCTCAGACTGTCCCTAGTTCTCATTCTTGGTTCACCTGAATTCTTTGTTTGGTTGGGAAACTTTGTGTCTGCTTCCCTCTGTGAATCCTCCGCATAGAGGCCTTGGTAAAAACGCAGGTGGGTTGGTTATGTGCCCTTTTTGAGGGAGCCGCGCGTGCTTTTTGGGAACCATCCAGGCAGCACAGGGTGGATGGTCGGTGTGAGCCATGCCCGTGTTGTGTTTCTGTTGCTTTCAGAAACAAGGCCAGATGGCCGGACTCCTCTGGTGGGTTCCCTGTGAGGAAGCCACTACCTCTGGAAACAGAAGAAAACAGTTTTAAAGGGAGTGTTGAGGCTGATCCCATCGCTGTGCTATTTCAAACCTTCAACCCTCAGAGAGGAAGGTAGAAGAAAGATTCAAAGGAGACAAAGTACATTTGCAGAAATGTTTTAAATCGCACACCTAGAAAGCAAAGTGATCACTGCCTGCTTGTGACCCAGATCTCCAAAGTTTTCCTAGGCCTAGAAATGCCTGTCAGGCTAGTTGGTCATCCTTACCATCTGTGCCTGTCAAGCCCTCAGGATGTGTTGGCTCCTTTCAGGGCAGGACAGTCGCCTCTACCTCAGGACGAGGGAAACAGGCCGAGGAGCAGCTCAGTGACAGTTAAATTCTAGCACTCCAGGCTGCAGCACCTCACCTCAAACAACATCTGTGATCTTTGTGTTGCTGCTGTTGTTAAAACCATTGCATTTTTAAAACTTCATGTCTCTACAAACGCATTCATATGCATTAAATAAAGTATAAGGAGTGATAACAAACTAACCCCTGGGTGCCTGCCGCCCACCTCACGGCTTTCCTGTGAGGCACCGTGCTCTTCCCTGAGCCTGTCCCCCATGTGTCTGACCAAGGGCGTCCTGTCTTGTATTTGTATTGACCATAGCCTTCCCACCCTGGCCATTCTGCTTCCATGTATGTACACTTACAGAATAATAAATACAGTTAAGCTGGATTTCTTGTCCCTTCCTTTTATGTTCATAGCAGTGGGCGTTTTCATTGCTAAATACTTTTCCATTTTATGGGAATATTCATAATTTTCCCCTTCTCCAGTTATTGGTTATTGAACTGCATGATTGAAATGATGCTATGAAAATTCTTTTCTGTGATGTCTGGTGCACAGAAGTGGGTGTATACCTGAAGAGGAACAGCGATGCTCAACAAGAAGGCCGCACACCGAGAGGTCCGACAGGAGACTTCATTCAGGAGAGTGGGACAGAGAGAGAGAACAAAGAAGGGATGGTCCTTTTACAGGTTTGGGGCCCGGCTGTTGTACATCTGTGAGCAAGAGGGCTACTTTTAACCTATCACAAGCCATGTTGCCTTTTAAGAACTTGCCTTGCAGAAGCTAAGTTTCATTTCTCTAAAACTATCGTGGCCTCGGGAAAAGGAAACTTCACATAGTAGCATGGAAGCGTGAAGAACCAGGAAACGTGGCCCATAATGGCAGCGTCTGGTCCCTAACGATACCTTGAAGAGAACTGTTGGGTCGGACAATAGAAGGACATCCTCAGCTTTAATAGATATGGTCAAATTACTTGCCAAAGCAATGGTCCCAACTTATGTTCCTACCACTGTGCTGAGATTTCTAGAGCTCTGGATCTCAGCCAACCTTTGGGCTGACTGGAGTAAAATTGCTGCCAAGCTGAGGGATATAAAATGGTATCTTACAGTGGTTTCTTTGGGCATATTTTTATTAGTAGTATGTTGAGCATGTTTATTGTGGAAAGTCTTCAGTCTGCCTGGAAATCCCTTTTCTTTTACCTTTTTGCCTATTCAACTGTGTTTTTAGTTATTAGAGTTTAAAATGTATATATGCTTACCTTTATTGATAAGTGCTAGTTTAATTTTTATTTTCTTATTTTTACATATATATGTACACATGCATTCATTTATTGCAGCATCAGGGATCAAACCTATGATCTTGCACGTGTGAGGTATGCACTGTGCCACTGAACTGTACCTAGATCCCAAGATTTAACTGTTAAGGAGAAACCAGATTAAAAGTAGAAAAATCTTCTGAAGCTATTTCCAGAAATATGAAAAGCACACGTCTTTATTCCATTTGTACAAAGTGAAGTGCGTGTATTCTGTATTTTTGCATGCATTCATTTTCAGCTGTCAGCATGGTGGCAGAGAAGACTCTCTCTGCTTTTGTACGTTTGTACGGTTCCTTCTTGGAGGCTCTTTTAAGGCTCATCAGATGCACTTATTTGGCGGGAAATTAATGTCATTCATGTTAGGATTTAGTTTTCTGCTGCAGGATTTCATCAAAAGGAAATCTTTATAAATAAAGACTTCATATTTATAGATAACATATTTCCTTAGTATGTCAGTGCATAATGGGCCTATGTCAGTAGACCAAAATGATACCAGATTTAAAAGAACATTAAACAGTATTTCTCCAAGTCAAGAGTGTGGAACTTTTGCTACCAACTAAACAGTCCTTGAGTTGAATGAGGTGGGGCTGTCTTGCTGAGTGTGACCTGGTGTGTTGTGTCAGCAGCGCCCTGGGGGTAGAAGAACAAGAAACTCAAGTGTCTTTTTCCTGCCCGGGGCTCCTAACTCAGAATCTTTTTACTAGACAGACAATACTGGTATTTGAAAGTGTATTCGTGGCAACTTGAGTTTTCTTATAATGATGGAACAAAGATGTAGACTTTCTGGAGCGCGCTGATGTGCAGCACACCGGGTCCTGTTAAAGTACACTTGGGACCGAGCTCTCCGGGTGCAGCTGTCTTCCCCTTGAGACAGAGACGGAAGCCCCGGGCAGCATAGCGCTGTTCCGCGTGGCCCCAACAATCCACGTGCAGCGCTGCAGCATTGATCGAGCCCTGTTGAGTTTGGGACGCATTTTATATTCTGGATCTTGCAGATTTAGTGGCTGGGTTATAAAATACCTCATTTATAGTTTTAGTATTGATTACTTATTGAAATGATATTACTTTGGATATATGGAGTTACATTAAATATTAACATTTTTCCTTTTTAAAAAATGTCTAGAGATATTAAAATGACATATATGACTTGCATTGTATTTCTAATCGACAATGCTGTACCAACCAACCTCCTTACTTGAATTTACACTAGAGAAAGAGATAACTTTAAATTTTTATTTTTAAATTTTGGCAGAATCTCTTCCTTTATTTGTAATACTGAAGGGAAATATGAACATCTTTGGGAACATAATTTCCTAATACTGTTGCCAACATAAATGCTTTTCTCATTTTCCTTTCTGCCCCGCTGGCTTGAAGCATTTTTGTGGGAAAGAAGAGGTTGTTTTTGCGTAGAAAAAACAGAACTGACAGTCATGTTGCCGGCTGTTTTCCTGTGCCTTCTCTCCATAGTTTAGTCTCTGATGTCCCCTGGTATATTGGCCTATAGCTGTGAACAAAGGCACAGTGGCATTTTTACTTTTTTGAGGGGGAATTTAATGAACCACACTGATACCATCTGTAATCTGCAGGACAGTGATGAGTATTAATAAGTTTTAGTCCTAGATTTCTCTGTGTATATAATACTCATTTGAGCTCATAAGAATGTGTAGATAATCTGCCTTTAAAAAATTACTTTCTGGTCTCATTGCCAAAGATTAAAACAGAAGGTTGTACATATAATTGGAAAATTATTCCTGTCTTTGCCCAGAATTTTTAACCATTTTCTTGTAGCTATTGTCCTAGAGAAAATAATTTTGGAGAGAAACCCATATCGCTTTTGCCCTTAAAAAAATGGACAGTAACAGTATTCATTAAGGAGAGGAATTTTTTGTTTTTGTTTTTCTGTTTGAGATTCTTCCCTAAAATAAGGGAGTAGTTGAAGCATTCTTGAGAGTCCGGGAGGTGCCAGGCATCTGTGTTCCCTGCAGTTACCAATCCTGTCACTCTGGCTCTCACTGTCATTTGAATAAATAACCACCCCTGTGTAGCATTTAGATTTTGGGGACGGTGGAACAAAATGACCAAGATAAATATGATTTTCTTTCTTGATATCAAACTGTAAGGTCTCTCATTTTTCTCCCTGCCAGTCCATTCTTGTTATGTACTATATCACCAGGCTGAAATACGGAGATCCCACAGTTGACGCGGTGGCTCACTCTGAGATCGGTACCAGGGCTGATAGACACACAATTTGGCATTGACTCTGCTGCCCTGGCCCACATTTACCTTTCTCATCCTCTTTATGGTGAACCGCTTTCAACAGGGTGCTCCAGGCCACTCCCAGCTAACCAGTAAGGGTTGCTGAAGTGAGGACCACAATTTGAGGCAGAAGGGAGGTGGCTGCTGCAGCTTCCCATACTGGATGTCTTGTTTTGCATACCTGATAGTACACATTATCCTGTGTCCCAGTCATAAGTGAGAAACTGAACATGGACAGGTTTTCCAGCCCAGTGACAAGGTAGCTCAGTAACAATGTCAGGAGTTACCTGCTTAGCAGCCAAAATGACTGCAGCATCCAAACTTGGGGATGACCATGAAGGTCAAAGGGCAACCGCTTCTGCTCCCGGATCACAACTCACCGAGGGAAGCCACTCCAGGGGACCCGTTCTCTAGGGGCAGTGTTCCTA